CCCGCGGGTAGGGGGACGTGGAGATGGGGGCTCCCTCCGGCGCGGTGAGGGGGACGTGGGAATGGGGGTCCCCGCTGGCTTGGTGTGGGTCGCGGGGTTGGGGGCGTCCTCGCGAGGGCGTGGAGCGGTGTGGAGATGGGGGAGGCCTCCGTGCTGTGTCGCATGTGCCCCTGTGACCCGAGGCCGCGTCTGTCAGGGCCCTGCAGTCGGGCGCAGGGCCACCATGTGGTGGTGCCCATGGCACCCCGCTGGGCAGACGGGATGCGGTGTGTGCAAGCGCAGGGTGTGCGGGGACTCCGGGGACCATTCGCCGACCTTTGTCAGCCCACAGTGACTTAAAAGCAGTGTACCCAGCAGCAAGTCAAACAGAGCGTGTGTCATGCTTTATGGGAAAAAAATTAAAAACCGTGTTGTGAGAATTTAGAGGAGTCAGATCATGGCAGGAAAAAAATAACAGCAACGTTTGATATCTGACTTTCAATATTGTGTGTTTAAAGGAAAAAAAAAAAACGAGCAAAACATAGACTGGGATTTCAGATCCGTGAAGGGACCATTTTCTTAGCTTTAGAGTGATGGAGGGACCTTATAACAAGAAAGCTCCACGCGGGTAACATATGAGCCTATGAAGACCATCAGCAAAGCAAAGTGGAATCTTCAGACAAAATGTGAAGACTGTTTTTTGTTTTTTTTTTTAAATTTTAAACTCTAACATTTAAAAAGTAATTATTTCTAGAAAATAAAATAATAAACGGGTAACCAAGTTTTTCTAGCTGTACTGGTTTGATCTCATTGGTTTGGAATCCTGACACAGAGCCCAGAGCCTATGGTTTCAGGTCTTCCTAACATGTATAGTATATTTAACGTCGGCCATCCAAAGTAAACTTGTAAACTAATCTGACATTTCTCTGAACATGTGAGAAACCAGTGGTATCGAATAACGTAGTAATGAGCTATGCCTGTCTGGATTATGGTGCTATGCTTCTGGGACAAGAATAAAAAATTAAAAAAAAAAAAATTGTGGCACATAAAAATAATTTATAAACAGGGATAAAACCACATTGAAGGGATTCCTAATTGTTCTAGTTAAACAAGTGCAATATTGTTGATATCGAGTTCTGATTTACATAGTACTGATTTTTAAAATACTGATGTTCTTGAATGTACATGTAAACGCTGGGGTGTTCATGTGGAAAGGGTGGGAATTGTCACCAGCAAATCACCACTAACTGCCCGGCCACAGAAATCAACAGGAATGTGTCCTCTGCCAGCTCTGGAGGCAGGAATCTGAGGTCCAGGTGTGGCAGGGCCACGCTCCCTCCAGAGGCTCCAGGGGAGGGTCCTTCCTGCCTCTTCCAACTCCTGGTGGCTCCAGGTGTCCCTGGGCTTGTGGCCGCATCACTCCAGTCTCTGCCTCTGTCTTCATGTGGCTTCTCCTCTGTGTCTGTGTCTCCTCTTCTGTCTCTTATGAGGACACCTGTCATTGGACTTAGGACCCACCCTGAATTGAGGATGATATCATCTCGAGATCCTTCACTTAATTACATCTGCAAAGACCCTTTTATCAAATAGGGTCTTATTCTGAGAGTCCAGGTGTACATGAATTTTGGGGGGCCACCATTCCAACCCATACAAGGCCAATCCCCTCACATAAAGTATCACTGAGGAAATACCACTGTGAATTCCTATTGCCAGATAAGGTCTTATTTACGGTTTCCAGGTGGACATAAGATGTAGGGGGCTCCCATTCGACCCCACCCAGGACTGATCCCGTCATGTTTCAGGTGGGAAGGTGGAGGCATCGTAGGAAGTCAGAGGACAACGGCTTCAAGCTGGAGCTCTCATTACATGACACCCTCCCTGAGGGCATTCACATGTCCTCTGACAGCCTCTGAATAAATCCCTTCTCTCCCTGAGGGATGGGGCAGGGATCGGTGACATCTTAACACATCACGACATGAAAATACGCATGAAGCATGTGAAGTATTGCAGAAAAAACGTGAGCACACCCCTCACTGGGAATTCCTAACATCTTTCTTTTTGTCTTTTTTCGTGCCCAGCAACGGATCGCAACCCTCAGTGTCGCGCCCGTACTGGACCGGGACCGGCAACGGGATCACAACCCTCAGTACTACGTCCGCACCTCGCTCAGCCAGTGAGCGGGAACCGGTCTGTATGTGGGATCCGAACCCTCTGCGGGAGCGCCACCACGCTCCCAAGCGGTGCACTGTAGCAGTGCGCCACCGGGCGGCCCCCTAACATCTTTCTCCAGGATCTGAGAAGCACCCAGCTGTGGCTCTGATGTCCCTGGAGCATCAGAAAACACACTGTGGAGAGGACTCGCTGGCAGCAGGGGGCCCTCTCTCCGCTTGGATGCCCTGTTTATCCTCTTCTCTGTGAATCCTACCCCATAAATTCATGTGGACGCCAAAATCCAGTGAATCCATGTGCTATGGGCTGAATTCTGTCCCCCTCTCCCCAGTTTAAATGTTGAAGCCCTGACCCCCAGGACCTTGAAAGGTGACTATCTTTGGAGACAGTCTTTAAAGAGGTAATTAAAGTAAAATGAGGTCATAAGGGTGGGCCCTAGTCCAATAGGACTGGTGTCCTCATGAGAAGAGGACATTAGGACACAGACACACACAGAGGGATGACCATGTGAGGACACAGGGAGAAGACGGGGTCTACAGGACAAGGAGAGAGGCCTCGGGAGGAACCGGCCCTGCCACGCCTCGATCTCACACTTCCAGCCTCCAGGACTGTGAGAGATTAATGTCTGTTGTTTACGTCCCCAGTCTGTGGGACTTTGTTATGGCAGCCCAAGCAGACTAACACAGGGACAGTGATGATTGATTTTCTCTGTCAGCTTAGCAGGGTCACGGTTCCCAGATATTTGGCCTAACACTAGTCTAGATGTTGCTGTGAAAGTATTTTTAGGTAAGATTAACATTACAGTCAGTAGACTCTTCAGCCCTGGTAAACCCATACACCACACAAACTGTGACAGAGTAAATTTCTGTTATAAGCCACCCCACGGGACTTTACTGCAGCACTAGCAGAATGACATACTTGTGGATATGTGAACTAATACATATATGTACATGAACACATCTATGTCTAGATGTATTTGTGTACATCAATGTGGCATCATATGTTATGTTTTGACTGCATTTTTACTTCCATTTTTTATTTTCTTAACATTCTGTTAAGCGTGACACTGACCCCTCTTGGTTACACCTGATGGATGACCGTCCCCTAGCCAGGCCCTCAACAGCTGACTCTGATTTAGCATTTGTCCTCACCTGGGACTGTCTACAAAAAAAATTCACATATTTCCAGAGTCGTTTTCTAAAGAAAATATCTTTGCATTTATAATTGAATCATGTCCTAAAAGATGGGCAGAAAAAAAATTTGGTTGGAACAGCCAAGATTAAGGCCCAACTATGCATTTCCATCTCACACACCAGAAATGTGCCCTCCTGCCATCTGTGTCTGAGAATATTCTACACACGTCTCCACCTCAATGATGGTGTCGCTTAATTTTCATTGGGATAGAGAAAACTTAGAAGGTGTTTCAAAGAAAATAAATTAACAGTATTTACTAAAGGATCAATACTTCTGAGAATCTACTCTTTGCCCTTTTGAAATTGCTGTGGTTTGTCTGTTTACGTTCCTCCAAAATTCCTGTGCTGAAACCTAACCCCCAAGGTGATGGTGTTAGGAGGTGGGGACTTTGGGACTTTGGGAGGTGATGAGGTCAAAGGGTGGAGCTTCATGAATGGGATTAGTGTCCTTATAAAAGAGACCCCAGAGAGCCCCCTCACCCCTTCCACCGTGTGAGGACACAGTGAGAAGTTGCCGTCTATGAACCAGGAAGCAGGTCCTCCCCAGACACTGCACCTGCCACACCTTGATCTTGGACTTCCACCCTCCAGAACTGTGGGTGATAAATGTCTGCTGTTTATAAGCCACCCATTCAATGGTTTTTTTGTTATAGCAGCACAAACATATAAAGACAAGTATAAACTCTCAGGAAAATCGGATTATGTGAATTCTTTAGAGCATAGCCCCAGAGACGCCTATTAGTTCTATGCATGAACCAATCACTTCATTTTTCAAAAAATAGACTGTTTATTTTACAACAGTTTCATATTTTACAGAGAAGATACGGAGATAGTAAGGAGGTCCCCCGGCCCCCCACGTTTCCTTCCTCTTTGTATTAACATTGTATATCACTGCGATCCAGTTGTCACAACCAAGAGACCAACGTC